GCTCAGCGCCAATCATCTAGCAGCTCTCTTCTCTCTTGCACTGCGGCACACGGCCGAGGACATACGACAACCATTTGACTTTGTGCAAGCATCTAGAGCCTATCATCCCGTTTCTTTATCTTTAGGCCCTAATATAGTGCATTATCAGGAGCTTGGTTCTCAGGTGGGGCTCTGCTCCGAAGAGTTAGCGCCCTCGGTCGCGTCCGCTCTCTTGATGGATCACTACATAGATGGAATGCTCGGTACGGAGAAAACTTCATCTGGTTTCGCTTATCTAATGATATGTGCAGTATTAGATGCCCGCCTCGTCTTCCGAACTCTTTATCGTCCCGCTTTGGTGCATTCGATCCGATCTGCTCAGCGGTCCAATCGGATGACTGTGATGGACGATCTAGTAAATCTAGTTGAGTGCCAAATGGTGGGAATGCTCGACCATCTTGACAGAACCGGACAGCCATCTTGGCACCTTCGTCGCGACTTGCTAAAAGATAGGAGTGGCCAACTATGCTCGATCCGATCTAACAAAATCTGTCTTGTGTGTTTATTACGGGCAGCGCAGCATCGATTCGAGTGTGGACATACTCTCTGTGATCACTGTGCCCAAGTCTTCGGTTCGCCTGCTGCCGCGAGGGAGTACCAATTCAGATTCACAGCTTGTCCCTGTTGTCTGTATCAAAGACCCTTTGTGATCGAGATCTTAGCCCCAACCATGAACCCCACCATTCTCGCTATTGACGGCGGGGGTGTTCGAGGCGTGATACCATTAGAATTTTTGACTCTAATACAGGAAAGTCTTGGTTCCTGTTTGGTACAGGACTTGGTCGACATCAGCATTGGGACAAGCTCGGGTAGGCTATATTTGAGTTCTGCATTTCTACCAATTCATCAGTCTTCTATAACAGGATACTGACGTATACCAGGAGGGCTCAGTGTTTTAGCTTTATTTTACAAGCGTTGGGAGGTCTTGAAGTGTGCCAAAGTATTTGATGATATGGCTCACTGTATCTTTCAACAACGAAAGACTCCCTCACTATCTCGGCTTTCTCGATCGATATTTGGCAAATTCTCACTATTTGGTACAATCCATAAATGGCTTACATGGCTCTTACACGATGGGTGCTATGACGGGAATGTTTTTGATACCGCCTTGAAAACAGTCTTCGGCGCCCAGGGCCGTGTTTTTGATGGTCTTTGCGCACAAAACACATGCGCAACATATTCAAATACGAGACTAGGCGTGGTAGCAACAGGTATTTCCAAAGACACATGTTCATTTGTGTTTGGGAATTTCAATGCTTCGGAGACCTCTAAAACGGATCCTGGTAAAACTTGACCCTGAGATGTGCGCCAAATTCACGCAGGAGATCTAAATCAAATGGAACACAGGATGTGAGATTGTCCGGCCAGTGGAGACGGACTGCGAACCTTTCGTTTGGGAGGCGTAAGTTAAGTTCAATAGATTCTCTTGGGCCGGCGCTAATGAAAGACTGCCAGTGCTAGAGCCACAGCCGCTGCACCCTTGTATGCCCTTTTCGCCTCCGAATCCGATGTAACGCTGACATCTGAAAGCTTTTTCCCCACAGCTGATATCGACACTCTTGGTTCTT